TTAATATTCGACTACACCTCTTACAGAATCACCCATCTGTACAAAGTAATACGCTTATCGTTAGCGGGAAAACATTTAATGAAAAAATCAAAAATACAACAGCACACATAGGCCTAACAGAGCCCATATCGTGAATTAAAAAGAATCAAAATATCACATAGGTTTTACGTAGTTTTGTATTCTTTGGACTGCGTTCTGTTATCACAGAAAATCCACCGTATCAATGCTTTTTGCGAGCAATTGGGTTAAAAACTGCATTTAATATTGTGAGTAAGCTGTGTATATTCAAAAGTCTTGAACAAATTTGATATCACTTATAATTTTCTTTGCGTATCCTCTCCTTATACAACCTCTAGCTTCTTTGCGTATGCATAGCTAATGATCAAAGAATGGTCTATTTCACTGTTATAGGAGAGATAATTATTTAAATTTATCTTATAGGTTCAATTATAAAACTAGCCTACTGCTAACACTACTAAACCATATACAGTCGTTTATAATGAGAAAGTATTAATAATCCTCCAAAATTGTGTGATCACATTTCTTAGTAAAAACTAAAAGAATTAAGTTACTAATCATGGAAACAAATAAAACCTAATTAAGTTGTGGTTATTGAACAATAAAAATGAATTGTTGCCATAGTGGGTTATATTGAAAAGGTTTCAGTTGCCTACTCTCATTTTGTACAAGCCGAATTTATTTTGATCACGTGATTGAATTTAATTCATGAAACAATTTGCCATAGTTTCAAAGTGCCTCTATAAAATATGATTTTAATGGGTATAAAATAAAAGGCTTGTTGAAATTGTAAAAACATTAAAATTTAGTTAACTTTAGAATGCACAGTTCCTTAAAATGTTTAAAACACTGTAAAAACCATTTAGTTGTGTTGCGATATTGTCTTATCATCAGTCGCAATGTAACAAGTACCAGTTAGGTTTTCCAAACTGGTTTCCTGATATTTAACATACTTTTGATACCAGCAAAACTAATATTGAATCAAACAGTCCACCGGTAAACATAAAATCCAGTCTGTGGTTAATGACAAACCATTGCAACTTATAAACGTAATAGGTATAGTACAGTAGTTTGAATGTTGGTGAAATAATAGATTATTTTTAGCATATCCCTCAATTGTAGCCATGTACAGTAAAATTAATTGATGTGAAGTTAGCATGGTATTTAAATATTTTATTTGTAGATAAAAATAGTTTTAATTATACATAATTATTGAAGAACATCCTGAAAATGCTCATGCGATGGTAACAGCACATACCCTACATTTGTTTACCTTTTATTTTGTTGATTAACGTTTAAAAACAAACTTTTGCTTCTTTTAATATTTGTATTTGTCCTAAATAAATGTTAGTATGTATTCTGACTGTCATTTTAATTCCTATCAACATTACCAACACCTATTATTTTAGTTTTCTGATGTAGGCCTACAAGCTTTCTTTCTTTCGCACTAAATGTTTTGCAGTTATGACAACTTCTGGTTGGATTAACACCATCGATTAACACTAAAATATTTCCTTATAATTGCCATATTTACTATTGTTATGCATACTATAAAACGACGAGTAACGTTTAAGCTCATTGATTTCGAAATCGGCTCCTGTGATTTCGTCTTAACTGTTAGAAACATCTTATTTTCACGCTAAAACAATATCGATGCTAGCCACTGTTCTGGGAAAATTAGTTTTTCGGTAAAAACTTAAAATCAAATCTTAAACATTGGTCTTATGGAATGCCATTTATCCAAGACATTCCAACGAAAATGTAAATAATTAAGTGCAACACATGCTTATAACCAATCGTCTACAGTACAGTAGCAAATTACTAAATACAGTACAAAAGAAAAATACATTAATACCACTAAGCATTGATTATTTAATACACTTAGGGTGTTTTAATAAGCAACGGGATGATTACGATTGTTCAAAATCGTAGAGTATTTACCACAAAAGATTATACACAAATAAAATGTTGAACTAAAAAAACCATTGAGAAAAAACAAAGGACGTTTGGTAGTTTTCGACGATGTTCCGATGGCGCGTTGTCTGAATATCCCATGGATTATAAAATAGAAACGGTATGGATAATATTTATAGACAAACAAATGGCCCAAAAAAAGACGGGTTTGTAATATTATTAAAGTGCAACTGCAAGAGTTGTGACGTGTTAAGTCTTGGAACGTCGTAACAATGGGACCGTCCACGCATAGAAAAGAAACGGCATGGATAAAAATCATATAAAAGATTCACAGGATGGAATCCAACACTAAAAATCTCTACAAGTTTTTTTTACAGTTGCAGTAGTGCATTCCCTACATGGGAAATTCGCTAAAAGAGTAGTACATTTTAAAAGAGGTTTGTTCAACTATTACTTTTGAGTAACAGAACTGGCCAAAATAGAAGGGGTGACTTCTTCAGTATGTAAACAATGAGAATACTCTGCTACACAATAGTAGTTTACGCAACGATTGCGTAAAGATAGTGTTAACGACACGAGTAGAAAATTTAAGGTACGAGCCTTGGCGAGTGTCTTAAAAACTTCTACGAGTTTCGTTAACACTATTTACGCGAGTTGCGTACACTACTTTACCTACGATGGTATTTTAATTACTAAAAATCACTATTCATAACTTCTAAGAGAGGTTATGTTTTTGTGTATAACCTCTAATTGCCACTGACAGTGATGCAACGAAACATTGTATCAAATAATAATTGCACCAATCAACAATTAAATTGGCCTGAACAGCTGATTAGTTGAATTTCGAATCATTACAATTTTGCTTCTCCTCTCTCAATCCTTGAACCACATTGGTCCGTTACCCGTGTTGTTATGAGT